AGTGAGAAGGATGGAGGCGGAAATGGCTGAACGAGAGAGACACCGAGTGGATTACAGTAGGCCACACAGTCAAGAGAAGAAACATCGAAATAAATCGCCGTCATATTACTCGAAGAAAGAGAGCGGTTCGAAATACTACAGCGATGAACACGTCAAAAAATATTTATCTCAAAATAAAAAAAGTAAAGATTATACTAGCTACAGCAAGGATAAACGACCAACAACGGCTACAACAGCCTCCACAAAGACAACTACAAGTACAGTAACACCTCACAGAAAAGATGTTACAGACGAATATTCGCGATACTCAAAGGACAATTATAACTACTCGCAAGGAGCCGATCACTATTCGAAAGTTATATCGAGGTCCAAACCGGCATTTAAGAGGCAAAACTCTGACCCCATGATCTCGAGTGTTGCACCTGTAACTGACACGATTAGTTCGGACAAGACGTCGTACGTATCGAAGCAGCAACCGGTACTTCAGAGGGACATCTCTCGTGATATTGCACACCTGAACAAATACTACAACATGGCTGACAAGTTAAAAAATAGATACAGTAGAATACAGGATAACCTGCTATACCGAGATGAAAACGCTCAGTACAATTACAAAGTACCGACGTCTCAGAATCGAGTTTTTAACCTCAATTCTCAAACCGAAACTCCTTACAACGCCCTCTCGCGATCATCGGATATTTTAGCAAAGTTATCGAGACCGGCCATCGTGAATAGTAGATCGGTAACCAACTTGTACGGCAACGAATACTACGATCCGAGGAATATTTCATCGGAGCAATATTTTGATCCTAGAAATGTTGTAGCGCTCAATCGTAGAAACATTTTGAGGACCCCCTCATTCAGCTATCCAGATGAGAATGAAAATCCGCTGCTGAGAGAGGAGAAGAAAGAGCAGTTGAGATTTGAAATCGAGTTAAGGAAACTGCAGCTGGAAGAAGCTCGATACCTTCAGAAACAAATTCGTCGGCTGGCCGCCATGCCCGATCTAATGGCTGGTGACGTTTCCAAAAATAAAAATCTCTACTCAAAAAGCAGGCAGTCTGTGCAGCAAGTGTTACCGCTTCAAAGTTTCGACTATACCGACGATTATGTGCTAGAGGACTCCAAGTACCGAGTTAATTTGCGAGACGAATACTTGAGGAATGTGAAGGAACAGCTAGACTACGGTCGGAAAGATAAAATCCCTCTAGCGCAATCCAATTACACGACACGAATGTCATCTTATCAAGCTTTTCGACAGAGTGAAGGTTGCAAATTGAAACTTGTATATGTGCGTGTGTGTATATGTTTGTGTATGTCTTTGTGTACGTTTGTGTATGTCTGTACGTATGTTTTCATGTCTCCGTATGCATGTATGTATGTTTGTATGCATGTCTGTGCACTTGTTTGGACGCTGATGAATGTTCGTTCCCGTGCTAGGAAACACGCGTATGTGTTTAAGGCAAATATTAGCCTAGATTTAATGCTTGAGTATTTTAGATTTTTGCATGTTGGTTGATGTGCTTTTTTATGCTCGTAGACGAGCATGTACGTATGGTCGTCGGTTTGTTTGTGGCAGCGACTACTGCTTCATTGAAACGTTGTTTTATTTCTGCCTGACATGCAAGCAGTTGTGCCAGTGTGCACGCGAGAAGCAGCGCGTTGAAATTTAACTTCATTCCGTGATGAAGTGAATAAAATTGAAAAATAAAAATGAAAAAAAAATAAAAAATAGTTAGACACAAAAGTTGAGCGAGTGTATGGATAATAACTGATACACGAACGAAGTGTTTGCTCTGAAAGTAACAGGAGACATGCTCACGTCCTATTATCTCATAATGTTATGCTAATATTAATGCTCCAAATTTATATATGCAGTGTTGTAAACACATTTTTAAAGCAGCAAAATAAATCTCACTTTATGACTTAGCTATAAGCTTCAGTACCCACAAATATTATATGTACTGTACTGTACATACATGTAGGTGCAAATAGTGTACATACTAGGAACGTACACCGGACATAAGCACGCACTCGAATACACACATAAGCGTACAAGAAGATGCGTACGTACGCATACAAATGCACACACTCACATGTGTACACTTTTATGTACAGATTCGTACAACGGCCGCAGATCCAGAGACATACTTAACTCTAACAACTCTCCCGATTCAGAGGAACATTTCATGGAAGGAGGCGTGGCTTTGCAAAAAAGAAAACCTCTGGTTGGTTGGGTCTTAATTTAAATTAACCAATCATTGAACAGAAATTTTAATTTAAACTAACCGGTAATCAGAAATTTTAATTGACCAACCAATCAGCGATCAGATATAATGAAATTGAAGCTAACTAATATCCGATCAACCAATCGTTGATGCGATCTTTACTTTGCAATATAAATTTTATTACAGTTTTATGTAATAATAATATAGTTAATAGTTAATAAAGCTTTATGGTTATAAAATAAATGAATAAATAAATAGATAAAATAATTTCACAAAAAAAATGGCAGCCCTTGACGACGGGCAGCATGGGTCGCAAGCAGACCAGACAGTACAACTTCCCAACGAAGACAATCCTCCTAACCAGGGATCCCAAAGATAAATACTCAGAAGGTTCGTTCTCCATCTTTCAAATTGTTTTCTTCAATACAAGTCATGCACAGTCGTAAGGTCACTAGCAACTTTTCAAGCGTTTTTTATATATGTGAATTGATCCATCGTACATTTGTTGCGTGTGGTGTCGAAGCCGGTCAGATCAACATAAGTACCAGGCACCTTAAAAATATTCATCACAACACCTCAATAATTATCATAATTTAATATACATATAATTGAGGTTTTGGTCTGGGAATGAAGATAACCGGGGGCCAGTATTTGGACCCTGAAGGCCAGCTAGGTGCGTACGTGACCAGCATATTCAAAGGAGGTATCGTGGATCAATTGCATGGAGAACTGCGTGAAGGTATGTCTTGTGCCTTTTGTATTGTATTTTGTGTTGTATTGTATGTTGTTTTTGTTAGTATTTTGTATTGTATTTTGTATTGTATATTGTATTGTATGAAGTTTCTTTTTGTATTTTGTATTGTATTTTGTATTGCATCTTGTATAGTATTTTGTATAGTATTTTGTTTAGTATTTTGTGTATATATTATATTGTATTTTGTATTGTATGTTTTTTGTCGTTGTGTGTATTTTTTGTTGTATTTTGTATTGTATGTTGTTTGTATTTTGTATTGTTTGTATTGTAATTTGTATTTTTTAACCTTTTTAACATAAAAAAAGTTGAAATATCCCTAAATGATGGTCCTAGGGGACCAAGTTTTAGAATGGAACGGCCACCCACTAACCAGTAAGACCCAAGAGGATATTGACCGAATCATGACATACTCGAATGGCGAGATTGAACTTGTCATCAGATCTAAGTGAGTTAAGTTGGTGAGAGTAATAATCATTTTTAAGGTTAATTAGGTCATTAATTAGTAATTAATTCATTTGTTTGTTCATTTATTTGTTCATTCGTTCGTTCGTTCGTCCATTTATAAATATTTTATTAAAAATTTAATGGTTATATACATTTTATTGGTTGTTAAAAAGTGTAAAGAATCAAATAACTTACCGAAAAACCAATCAACTATTCAATCAACCAAACAACCAACTATTCAACCAAATATTCAGCGAATCGGGCACATCTTCGAAACCGTCAAGTATCGAATCGACCGTTTGCAACGATAGCGACCTCTCCTTCGTCAACCAGAGTGACGTTGACGATTACAATAGTGAGTTCTGATGACGATGATGACGGTTAAAAAGATGGTGATTGAGATGAGTAAGAAAGTGATGTTTGCGGTGATTAAGATGACTGAGAGGATTGAAATGATTAAGAATGATTAAGATGATGATACACGTACACCGTCCTAGATAAAAAAGATCCTAGGTCCCAACCCTCCAAATTTCATCACCACCACCAACAACAACAAAACAAACCAACGAAACAACAACAACAACAGCAACAACAACAACATCGCTACCAACAACAACAACAACAACGTCATCATCATCAACACCATCATCAACAATCGTTATCATCACCGCCTCTATCGCCGACTTCCTCATCACATCTGGACGCGAACTCAGAGACCAGTCTCTCTCCATCTAACAGCTCGCTGCAGACTGACTTGGCTTCTCATAACGATCATCATCACCACCATCGTCATCATCATCATCATCATCAGAGCAACAACAACAACAATAATAATAATAATAATAATCAGCAGCAGCAGCATCAATCTAGGTACAGAAGAAATGATAAGGATGCTGATGATAAGAAGAAGAAGGCAACTGAAAGATATGCCGATGAGTACAACAATGATCACGTGACTAATTTATTTATATTATTATTAATTGTTATTATTATGATTAATAAGATTTTATAATTATTTCATTATTGATATTTGGTGTTTGGAGTTAGAAAATTAAAGGATATTCTCATTATTATTATTATTATTTATTAATTATTATTATTATTTATTATTATTAAATACTAATAATAATAATTATTATTATTGTTGTAATGATTTTTTTGTCAGATGACTTATGACTGCGAATCGGAGCTTGGCGATATTCAGGTGCGTGTGTATGTATGAAGGTTTAATCCGCAAGCTCACTAAATTTTTCTGTCTATCAGATAAGATGAAACTAATAAACCAAACAACTGATCAACCAACAAACCAGTCAATCAATCAATCAATCTATCTATCTATCACTCATTAGGTCAATCAATTAATCAATCAATCTATCTATCAACCATTAAATTAATCAATCAATTTATTTATTAACCATTAGATAAATCAATTAATCAATCAATCAGTCAATCTATCTATCACTCATTAGATCAATCAATTGATCAATTAATCAGTCAATCTATCTATCACTCATTAGATCAATCAATTAATCAATCAATCAGTCAACCAACCAATCAACCAACCAATCATCCAACAGTTGCAAATGAGTTACGACAAATTCGATAGCACGCTGAACATCCACGTGATCCAAGGCAGACGATTGAAATGCAGACCGAATGGGAGTGCCGCTGATCCTTTCGTTAAAATTTATCTTCTTCCGGGAAGAAAGTAATTCAATCGTAGATTGGTTGACGATTGGGTTGATTGGGTTTTAAAGGATTTTTTTCTTGCTGATTGATTGGTTGATTGATTGATTGATTGATTCTGCAGTCTATCAAATCGTCGCTGCACAAAATACATAACGAGGACTTCAAATCCGGAATGGCACCAAACGCTGGTGTTTATGGGCCTCTCAAGGTACGAACTCTCCCAGAAAAACCTCGAAGTATCAGTCTGGGATTATGATAAGTGCAAGAATCATTATTTTCTTGGCGAGACTGTGCTACATTTGGAAGGTTGGGGTGGAAAAATTTTCATTACATTTCTATGGTTAACACTTATTCAATCAACTAACCAATCAATCAATTAACATTCAATCAATTATCAATCAATCATTTAATTAATCAATCAATCAATCAACCAACCACTCAATCAATCAACTTCCCATCCAACCAATCAACCCCCCCTCTCATATTTAGACCCCCACCACTTGGACAATCGTCCCCATTGGTACCCTCTAGGCAAGCGGACAGCCCGCAAGCAAATTTCTGACGACAGTAAGATGGAGGACGATGAAGAGGAGGAAGAAGATGAAAATGATGATGAAGCGAAGAAGAAGAGGAGGAGAGATAAGGCTGCTAAGAGAGAGGGGTCCAATAATAATAACAGTAATAACAACAATAACAATAATAATAACAATAGTAGTAGTAGTAATAATAATAATAATAATAACAGCAATAATAATGGTAAAGGGTTTCCTAAGAGGAAGAAACAGAGTTATATTGACAACAACAACAACAATCATAATAATAACAATAATGACATTAATAATAAAAATAACAATCACAATAATAATAGCGATAACAAATACGGAAATCCTGATGGAGCTTTCAATAGTCTGGAAGGATCAGTGGATGAAGAAATACTCCGGAAGAACACACCACCAACAACAACATCAGCAGCAGCATCAACAGCAACAACACATACATCTCACAGACAACAACACACGACAACAACCAACTCTTACTATAACGCCAAACGTCGCAACACAACATCGACGACGACGACGACAACCACAACGTTCACAGCCACAACGACAACGACGTCGTCATCGCCAACTGCATCGTTCAGTGAGGCAGACACTGGGTTTGACGACAGACTGGACGAAGAAGTAGCCAGACTGTGCGAAGATCAATTGTTGGTTGACTTGAAGAAAGGACTATTGGTACAGAGTTACAAAGCTGCACAGGTTATTATTATTATTGTTTTTGTTATTATTATTAACATTATTATTATTATTATTATTATTATTATTGCTGATTATATTGTTATTGCTATTGACGACGACGACGACGTTGCATAAATTAAAAATTAATCGTGATTTTCGTTGCATAAATTAAAAATTAATCGTGATTTTCGTTGCATAAATTAAAAATTAATCGTGATTTTCATTTAAAAATGATTTTTTTTTTTTACTGCATATACACAGCCACAATTGTCATCGTCGTCATCATCACAATCACCCCCACCACCATCATCATCATCGCTGCCACAATCGTCACCACAATCGCCACAACAATCGCCACCACCATCACCACAATCATCATAATCTGACAGATCAACAATAGAATATATAACAACGCGGCGACAGACCCAGCAGCTCTGAATGGCGACCATGACTACCTATATAAAGGTTCGCCACTGATTGTGACCTTGTCATTTTTATCATCGGCATTCTTATCATTTTTTTTATCAATGTTACTACTGATGAATGAATGGATGAATGAATGAATGGATAGAGGAATGACTGGTTGATTGATAAATTTTTCTAGCAACATTCCTAACCAAAGTTCTCAGCAGTGTCGTGAACATCTTAAGCAAATCAATCGTTTGCTGTCAGTACAAATGGCTTGATAAACAAGAGGTTGGTTTGTTTGTTTGTATGTATGTATGCATGTATGTATGTATGTATGTATGTATGTATGTATGTATGTATGTATGTATGTATGTATGTATGTATGTATGTATGTATGTATGTATGTATGCATGTATGTATGTATGTATGTATGTATGTATGTATGTATGTATGTATGTATGTATGTTAAAACCAAAACATGATGAGTGACACTGAACCGTCAAACATCAAGTAACAAATGGATTAACACTTTGATTTGTCGTTAATTGCACATGTCGGCATTCAGTTGGATATTTTCAAGCACACTGACATGTATGTATGTATGTATGTATGTATGTATGTATGTATGTATGTATGTATGTATGTATGTATGTATGTATGTATGTATGTATGTATGTATGTATGTATGTAGGTATGTATGTATGTATGTATGTATGTATGTATGTATGTATGTATGTATGTATGTATGTATGTATGTAGGTATGTATGTATGTATGTATATATGTATGTATGTATGGATGGATGGATGAATAGATGGATGGATGGATGGATGGATAGATGAAAAAATGAAGTGAAAGATGGATGGATAAATAGATGGGTGGATGCTTATTAAATGATGAACTGAAGAAAATGAAAAACGTAAAATGAATAAAAAAAAGTGCGAAAAAAGACAATATAATCAAAGAATGGATGAACGAATGAAGGAGAGAAAAAAAGAGAGAAAAAGAGAAAGAGAGAGAGAAAAAAAAGAGAGACACACGAATAGAGAAGCATTTCGTAATTATAATTATCAAAACAACACATAACATAGGAGAGGAGCAATACTCAAAATTTTATTCGGGGGAGTGCAGTAATAATATAGGCGAAAAATAAGAATGAATGAGTGAATGAAGGAACGAATGAACGAATGAATGAATGAATGAATGAACGAATGAATGCATGAATGAAACATTTGAATAGTTGTAACACAAAAACCTACTTACAAAGGTCTTCCCGGTCAAGGCTTCGAAACAATCTTCGGATAAGAATCAAAACAGCAACAAGAATATCAATAACAACAACAACAATAATAACAACAAAAATAATAATAATAACAATAATAATAGTCCTATGAAAAACAACTTGATGAAAAACCAAAGGAAAATGATAATGGTTGATGGATTTGCAGACAGGATGAATTAAAAATGAAAATGGATGAATGAATGAAGGAATGAATGGCCAAACAAAAAAGAATGAATGAGTGAGTGAAAGAATGAACCTACATCCAGTTAACTCATAAACTACAATCTTTTTAACATCAAACGTTTCTCCATAACTTTCCAATCTTAAGAGTATGTATCTAAATTAAAATATTTAAGAAATATTCTTTTCATTATTGATATTATTGTTTATATTATTATTGTTTATATTATTATTATTATTATCATCATTTATATCTATTTAAAACTGAAAATGATTAAAGTAATAGTTAAACCGATGTAGAATAGACTTTTTAACTTAAATCTAAGCTCAACTATACATGAATACATACATACAGACATGCATACATATATATATATATATATATATATATATATATATGTGTGTGTGTGTGTGTGTGTGTGTGTGTTTATTCTATCTATATATATATATTACTAACCTTGTATTTAATACAATATGTTTATTATAGATTAAGCAAGCGTTTGCTGTATGTTGTTTATAAAAGTTTAATACCGTTTACCGTTTATGTCTCAATGTTACATTCTTTTTTCCAGATGTTTATACAACGTTATCTGAGCTATATACAATGCATACATGCAGATATACATACGTATATACAAACAAAAAACACATACAAATCGTACATACAAATGTGAAAAAATAACTAGTAAGAATAGTATATTTTTATTACAACTTAGTCATATTAAAAAATTATTTTAGATTTAAAAAAAAGTAGCGAAATTATTTAATATACACACCCGTATATACAAAAATATACACACGCACGCACACACACATAAATACAAACAAATATAATTCTTGTATTGTCTTTGTTTAGAATCTTAGTAACGTATCGTCAGCCTACTTGTAAACGTGCAATAATCTGTGACTATTATGTATATATATATATATTATATATGTATATATATATGTTAATACACCTACACACACATACACACAAACATACACACACACACCAAGTACAGCAAATTAAAAAAATTTCCTTTTATTAACCGGTAGTTACAAATTTTTTTAATTTGACTCATCCTTTCCTCAACGTCATCTCTCTACTCTCATCGCCATTGTCTTATACACACACACACACCACACACACACAGATACACACACAGATACACACACATATATATACAGTAGCATTGTAATAATGTACCTTTTACTATGACATTTTACATTTTACTTCTTTAATTACTTCTTAAATTAGATCAGTAATTGTATTAGATAATATATATATATATATATATATATATACTAAATATATATTTATATATATAGATATATTGTTACTTGTAAGAAGTATTTGTATTACCTTTACATTAGAGGCTTAGATGTATTTATAATAATAATAATTATTATAATTATTGTGTAATAATTTTAATGAATAATAATAATAATTATACTGTGTAATATGTGTTTGTACTTTTTTCTAGCTTTCTATGAATGGATGTACAAAATTAACTAAACGAAATTAAATACTGATGACGACAACAATGATGATGATCATCATCATCATTAATAATAGTAATTATTATTATTATTATAATTATGATGTCATAATAACACAAAAAAATAAATAAAAACAGCTAATAGTATCTGTGATTTGAAAAAAATTTAATTTAGGTTCTTAAAATGCTCGTACGAAGCCAGCATCTGATCGGTGGCTACGGGAGTTGAACTATAGAGAACTTTTAAGAAGTGTCTCATCTCAATGCTCTCGTTCAGTAAACTCTCCAACAGGCATTCATTGGCTGCGGCTCTGCAAAGCTTTACAATCTGTAACAACAACAGTAATAATAATAATAATTATTATTATTATTAAAAACAACAAGAATAACTAAAACAGCGTTAAACACACCACTGTTCTAAATTAGGTATAAAAAAATTTCAAACTGGATAACCAGGTCAGTCACCTCGGCCCCGGAGAACTTTTCGGTCCCATCCAGCAGAACCTCGATGTTGACATCATCGGACAGGGGCATCTTCCTGAACTGGGCCTGGAAAATTTTTCGACGCGTTTCCGTTGTGGGCAGGGGCACGTAGATTGATTTGTTCAGCCTTCCTGGTCTCAGCAGGGCCTGATGGGTGATTAAAATTATTTTCAATTTAGGTTCAGGGTTGGATAGAGGATTGAATTTGAATGAATGAATAAAATTATAAAAAATTACTAACACGTTTAGAAAATTTTTATAAACGAATGTATGGATGAGTAGATGAATGAATAAATGGATGAATAGATGAAAGACTGAATGAATAAACGAACGAACGAACGAATGAATGAATGAACGACTTAGTGCATATACACAGATTGTATAAAAACAAAATATACGAAAAATGCAATCCACATGAGACTAATCCTGTATACATTTAGTTCTGGTAACATCCAAGAAAGAAAAGAAATTTATACAAATAAAATTACTATTATACCCTCCTAACCTTATCGACCCTAGAGGGCATATTAGTGGCCCCCAGAACAAAAACCCCACACAATGCAACTACACCATCCATTTCCGTGAGCATGGTCGACAGGAGGGAGTTTGTCGAATTTGTATCAGATCTTATGCCGGGAAATGGAGTTTAAAAGAAACAAACAATTAAAATATAATAAATTTAACAGTTATCCATTCATTCATTCGCTTATTCATTTATTCACTTATTCATATACGCTTTCATTCATTCATTCATGCATGCATTCATTCATTAATTCACTCATTGAAACATTCTACACGTCAGTACGATGTGAAATGTAATAGTGGCATATCACTTCACTTATAAAAACTAGTGAAACAAATTTAAAATTTTAAGAATTTCATCAAACAACTTTCGTAATTTTAACGTAATTATGATGTAATCATGATGTAATTTTAACGTAATTATGACGAAATTATGACGTAATTATGGTGTAATTAGCCATCTTCGCCATAATCCCACCTATCCCTGGCGACAGCTAATGATTCAATTTCGTCGAAAAATATCACGGACGGGGCCATCCTACGAGCTCTCGCAAACAAATTCCTCACATTTTTCTCGGACTGACCGACATATTTGCTCAACAGATCCGAACTCTGCCCAAAAATAACAATAATTAGCATAATTTATTCATCATCATTTCACTTTATAATGATTAAATATATAACAATACAATATAACAATAATTAGCATAATTTATTCATCATCATTTCACTTTATAATGATTAAATATATAACAATACAATATAACAATAATTAGCATAATTTATTCATCATCATTTCACTTAATAATGATTAAATATATAACAATACAATATAACAATAATTAGCATAATTTATTCATCATCGTTTCACTTTATAATGATTAAATACAAAAGTGAATTACGCATAAAAAGCAAAGATAAAACACGCCACCTTCACAGCAAAGAAATTAAATCCACACTGAGTGGCCACGGCTTTGGCGATCATTGTTTTTGAACAGCCTGGAGGTCCGTACAGGAGTAAGCCGGACGAACTAGGGATGTGATGTTTCTTGAAGAGATGTGCGTATTTCACAGGCCACTCCATTGCCCCGCGAATTGTTTCTTTTAAGTCTTCGTAGCCGCATATATCAGACCAGGCGACCTGAAGTTTTGTGTGATTTCAAGAAATAAATTAACTTGAAATCAAAAATTAATTTGAACATAATTAGGGGAGTAATCTTTCAAGTTCCCCTTCCATTCAAACTGGGTGAATGTGGCACCGCAAACCGGAAGAGGGCACTCAGACAGTATAATAAATAACAAGGAGTAACTTGAGAACGCACAGGTTCAACGATGACAGTGTCACTTCTGTTTAAACGACTTTTTAACTTTGAAAAGCCAGACTGGAAATCTTTAAGTAAGATCATTGTTGGAGTTGTTGCTGTTGTTGTTGTTGATATTGTTGTTGTTGGCTGATATTGAGTTAAAGTCATGGCCTGCATTGCGTCAGATAAAAATGAGTCAGATTCAGACATAATTGTTTTTGTTGTTGGTGTTGTTGTTGCTGATGTTATTGTTGTTGTAGTTGATGACGTCATTTCTAAAACTGTTGTTGTGGTTGACGTTGTTGTTGGTGATGAATTTGCGTCGTATCTACGAATCCTTTGTTGAGCTGATGTAATAGCTATGCAATGAATTTTTTTTAATTTTGAAAATTTAAATCAACAAACAAGCTATAAAACACCGTGTATGGAAATAAATTAGAATTAATAATAATAATAACAATAAACAATAATAATAATAATAATCATTATTAACAAATAAAAATGAGAAATATCCACCGACCAAGTTGAAACAGATGGTGTAAATCTTGAGGTAAGAAAGCATGGCATGAGGAGGCTAGCGAAGCCACCTCATCATCAGCAAGTAAATGATGAAATGTTGTTGGTGTCGTTGTGAGTGAAATGTTCACATTTGATGACGACGACGATGACGATGGTGGCGTATGAGGAACTTTTTCACCAATGTGCTTTTTTAAGATCTACCAGAAGAAAGGCATTTTATAGAATTCAATGAAATGTTTTCATAAAATGAAACGTCAATTTAATTTAAACAGTTATTCAAAATATACACCTGCAAACGTTGAGCCTCTGTCGGTGGCTCTAATTGAAGGGTATAATTAAACCTAGTTGCTGTCAGCCAATCAGAATGAAGAGCCTCAGCAGCTGCAACCAATAGGAAACATTTTCGACTTTTAAACTGATCGAATTAAGTCATTCATTGAATGAATATAATTGGATACTATGGTAAAAACATAATTAAAATGGTATACGGTCGTGAAATAAAATATACAAATCCGATTTTTTTAAATTCACGATGACTAATACAACAACAACAACAACAACAACAACACACGTTTAGACGACATTTTCCCCGAGATCGGGGGTTGCCGTTTGGCTACCTATGATGAAACCGAAATACCCCTCGACGCCATCCACATCTGTCACTCGCCTCAGTATCACGCAACCCCGCTTTCACCCCGTCCTTCTCCACCTGCTCTCTCCATCCCAATCGCGGACGACCCCTTCCTACCACTCCTTCAATCTCGAACTCCAATGCTCGCCTAATCCCGACCCTTTCATCCCTTCTCAACACATGTCCATACCACCGCATTCTCGATCTCCTTATCAATGTCACAATGTCCTCATTCAGTCCCATCATTGACATCAGCTCTGTACTACTCCTCCTATCCTTCACTTTAACCGCACACATCATCCTCACCATAGCTCTTTCAGCCCTCTGCAGTACACTTTCCTCCTCTCTCCTCAACACCCAAGTTCCACCACCATATACCATCGCTGCTCTCACACATGCTTTATATACCCTCCCTTTCATCTTCACTGACCATTTCTTTCCCCACAATATCCCACCCAGTTCCCTAAATTTCATCCATCCTACAAGAACTCTAGCCGTAACTGCGCTCAAACATCCTCCATCCGCGTTCAGCTTATCCCCTAAGTAAACAAAGGTTTCCACTCTTTCAATACCACCACTCAACCCCGTCCTTGCGTCCGTCCTATTAATCACACCATGAACACATTTCTTACATTTGAACGTGCCTTCCACCTTGTTCAGTGCCCCCCTAACACCACTACATCTCTTATGCACCCATTTCTGACATCCTATACACAATACCGAGTTAGCCTTCACTCTCCCGTCACATACCCCACAGGGGTCTATTTTACTTATCACTCGCTCCCCAACTTCCCCACTCACCATTACCTTCGTCTTACCAATATTAACTTTTAACCCTTTCTTTTCAATAACACTTTTCCATCTGTCAAATTTTAACTGCAATTCTTCCATGCTTTCAGCCATCAAGACTAAATCATCTGCATACAAAATTTCAAATAACAACCCCTCCATTATGTTTCCACACACAACATCCATCACAATTGCAAACAGAAACGGTAATAACACTGATCCTTGATGCACTCCTACCTTAACACTAAAAGCGTCCGACATCCCCCTTCCAACCCTCACCTTTGTCTTTGCCCTTTCATAAAGCTGCATCACAGCTTTAACAAGTCTCTCATTCACTCCTTTCTTACTCAACGCCCATGCAATGACCTTCCTCGGTACTCGATCAAAAGCCTTTTCTAGATGACTAATAACCAAAAAAATGTTGCATTACACAAACTGACCAGCAAATCAACGGCTTCCATCATAGCGACATTAACATCAGAAACAATGACGTCATCAACAGCAGCGGCAGTAGCAGCAGCTGCGACAGTAGCTTCATCTTCATTACCACCATTCAATCCTTGTGTGCAAATATGATCGAGATCATCTATGAATACTATGTTGGCCACGTCTTCATCTAGTATTTTCTGCACAATTCTCGAAATACCAATCCTACCTTCTTCCTCATAACTTTAATAGGGGAAAAATTAATTGAAAAATAAATAAAACGCTTTTATTATATGAATTTAAAGTTAAAAAATGCTTGAAAATGATCTAGGAATTACCAAATTTAGAAAATCACAAAAGAGGTAGAAGCAAATAAAATATGTACAGTACATGAATCACACGGAAAGAAATAATATAACATAACCCATAAGTAATTGCTCTAATTCAAATTCACTTATAATTTAGAATTATTACCATAATTAAAATCATAATTTTGAAAATAATTAAAACCACTAACGCAATCATAATTTGAAATGAACACAGGTAAGTAAAAGATAAGCTATTGTATATGGACGACAACGAATGACCAAGTGTCGTTCGACCACTACCAGCTGGTCCAGCTATTAGGCAGCCAATTGTACTGCAGCCTTGCTTGGTAGGGCAAAAATGGTTTTTTATCATGAATAAATAATGAAATTATGAATAAATTATGAAAATATTAGGTACATATACACGCGTATACACAAATATATACACATTATATAAATATATTGATGTGTGCTGTGTGTTACACATGCGATGCATGCACGCACAGAAAAAATTAAATCTAGCAAGAGATTTATGTGAAAAAAAAACGTCATACTTGCTAAACCCTGATCTAATAACGACTTCAAGAACATCTTTTGAGAGTCAAATCCGACGAGGCTAACAAAAGAAACATCTTCGTAACATTTAAAAACCATCTCATCAAACATTACATTATAATCGACATCGTTGTACTCAATGTTTTTGTGCAGCGATTTAATTTTTGTGTTTTTGACTACTTTTAACCATCGATGTTCGTTATCACTATTATTGTTATCATTTGCTAGGTTTAGTGAGACTTCTAAGGTTACATTATCCATAAAAAATGGATATAGAAGTTTCATTCCAGGTCTCATGTACAAGCCGACTGCAAAAATATAATAATTTTTCTCCATTTTATAAAAAATAAATATAACCATAAAAAATATAGCATGGAGGAATGATGAATTATAAAATTGACATTTAGGAAAAACCAAAATTGATATTTTAAAAATAAAAATGAAGAAATGTGAGAATAAAAAAAAAAGAATTGTCTGATCCAGGTTCTGCAACTTTACCTAGTTCATGCTGGAGTAGGAGATTTAGACTTGGAATGTCTAAATTAGTTTTTTCGTCATTCCTGAATTTTTAAAAAGTAATTACAATTAATTAAACAAATAAATGAAGTAGAATAAGTAAACAAAATGAACGTACAAATGAAACATAAAATTGAGAAAAATAATAAAATTCATAATTTTTTTACATGAAAAATCATCTAATTCTTTTTATTGTTTATTCATTACTTTACTAACAATATTTTGAGCGTAACTTCTTTAAGATCTGAGGAGTCCCAGAGTTTTTGAACTAAACACATCTTGTGATTTAGTTTAGAAGACGAAGACGATAATGAAGATGATGGTGATAATGAAGACGATGGGGAAAATGATAGTGATGACGTTTGTGTGTCTCCACCATTCATCAAAGAGGGATCAATCAAAATGGAATTTATAGATATTTGAGGTTCTGGCCAGATGTTACAGACCAATTCTAATACTGCATTGTCATCTGGCATTGTTGTAATAAGAACTGGCTCATCAATTTTCAATTGGAATTCAATCATTGTTACAGGATGCATGAGAGCTTTGTACTTCTCTATAAAAGATGTGATGCATCTTTCTTCTTTATCTATGATAATTTTTAATTTTAAACTTTATATTTTATAAATAATTTACTAGTGTATAAAATTAATTTATTGGTAGTATACATAAAAAATTAAAAATAAATTTTTCTTTTGATCTAAAAACTAAAATGCCAAATCACTTTTTAAAAAGGCCTTGTTTATAATTTATCTATAGTTTCAGTTCTAAACTTAATTAATGAACTTAACACTTAACTTAATTAATTTGTTTAGAATTTTAATTAATTAAATAAGCAAGATGACTGATAAACTAACTTTTTGATAAAATTTTCAATCCAAAAACCTTTACCTCTGTTGGACATTTTGACGTTCGCCGGCAGACGGCCAACTGATCTTCATTAACTTTTTTACAAATTTCCGAATTGAAGTGAGGATCAGTGTTGTTGGCATCCAGAAACCACGCGTGGCAGTGGGGACATTCCAGCCAAGTTAGATTTTTTTTCTTTTTAGAAGACATATTTTTATGATTTTAATAAATTTAAAGTAAAAATCTTTTCATAGTACTTTGCGTCAGATTTAATTTAAAACGGCGTGACAATTCAGCGATAAAATGTATAAAATTAAACAAATTTTTAAAAGTAAATTTCTATAATAACTTTTAACAAACACCACTGAGACCATAGAATACAAAGAGTAGACAACAGCAAACATCAGTTTCTTGTAGTTGACCTCGTCTAAATTTAATTTCTCAAAAAAATTTATCCTCTATTACAAAAAGTATTTTAATGTTTTTTTTTATTGAAATTCAAATTTTAAAACAGGCATTTGTGCCGGTAGCAAGATTTCAAACACCCCATAAGCATTTCAAGAACGTAAAATGTTGAATTTGTATAAGATAACCAAGTTAACAGTTGGTGTTGTTGACATTTTTTTCATTTCATCAATTAAAAAAATTACAATACTAATAAAAATATGATGTTAAATTGTCACATAGATTAGTGCATAAATCATTTTTTCATATCAAAAATGAAATTATATTTTTTATTAAATCAATTTAATTACAAAAAGTCATAAGCCGTGAACAGACAAGCATATGTTTAAAAAATATTGTTGTGTGCGTGTGTGTGTATATGTGTGGGCATATATGTATATGTATGCATGTATGTATGTATGTATGTTTGTTTGTATGTATGTATGTATGTCCGTACGTAAATATGTATGTATGTGTGTGTATGATTGTTTCCTCTTTTATTAACTCTTCAACTTCTTTCCGCTACTCATATCATATGGTAGATCTAGAAATGATAATCCTTATCAATTTATTTATGCGAGATTAATAAGAAAATTGATGAATATATTACAGATGGATAGATATAATATAAAAAAAATAAAATGTTGGTTACTTTTTCGCGGATAGCCATTTGGCTGATAACCAATATTGATGACTGATCTGTTGTAAGCCTGTGGAACTCCTGGCTTCGGCATGCTTCTTTGTTGATACATTGCCGGGATCCCTAATCAATCAATCAATCAATCAATCAATCAATCAATCAATCAATCAATCAATCAATCAATCAATCAATCAATCAATCAATCAATCAATCAATCAATCAATCAATCAATCAATCAATCAATCAATCAATCAATCAATCAATCAATCAATCAATCAATCAATCAATCAATCAATCAATCAATCAATCAATCAATCAATCAATCAATCAATCAATCAATCAATCAATCAATCAATCAATCAATCAATCAATCAATCAATCAATCAATCAATCAATCAATCAATCAATCAATCAATCAATCAATCAATCAATCAATCAATCAATCAATCAATCAATCAATCAATCAATCAATCAATCAATCAATCAATCGATCGATCCTACTGATGACAGTAATCAATCAATCAATTAATAATTTACGATTGAGTATAAAGTAATAATATTTTAAGGTTGTATTTTGTTGATAAAATATTTTATTAAAAAAAAGAAAATTAATAGTAAGTAATTATAAGAATACTGATACATTACCTCCGGGATTGCAGTAGTTACCACAGGAAACCTGCTGTGGATGTGATTGTTCATGGGTGGGCATCTGTTGAGACTGCTGCGACAGTTGCTGCTGCGGCTGCTGTGGTTGTTGTTGAGCTACCGCGTGATGTTGTTGTTGCTGCTGTGCTACGACGTGTTGGACCTGTTGCGGTTGGGGTTGCTGCTGTGCCTGCTGCTGCTGTTGCTGCTGGTATTGGTAGTAGTTTTGGTCGTACATCACTTGAGCTTGTGGATTCATCTGGTACATCTGCTCGTCTGAATTTGTACAAAAAACTCATATTTTATTATTATCAATATTACTTTATAACTATGTTATTTTAATACAAAAAGTAAAAATTTCGTTAAACTACTAACTGTAATGATTCATTTGCTGCTGAGTAGGTGTTTGTAGTGGCTGTTGCAGCTGTGAATTGACTGAATTAACAATTGCTTGCTGAAGTTGTGCTGGCTGTTGTTGTTGAGACATTTGCTGGCGCTGCTGCACAGCTTGGGGCTGCTGTGGTGGCGATTGCTGTTGAGCGGCGATGCGGTGTTGCTGCTGCATTTGCTGCTGTATTTGTTGTTGCATCTGCAGCTGTTGCATGTGCTGTTGTTGTTGCAGCTGATGTTGTTGCAGGTGATGCTGTGGCAGCTGGTGAGGATTTTGAACGACAACTGAAGCGTTATTGTTCCCACCAGCAGCGCTGTAATAATTTCCAGTGGCAGCACAATAACCCATCCATTGCTGGGTCGGAGTATTTCCTTGTTGCAGCTGTTGATGCTGCTGCTGTTGATGTTGTGGTTGTTGATGGCTCTGCTGGCTAGCTGCTGAAGCTGCCGTGTCATAAGACATAGTTGTGGCACTGTTGACGTTAGACGCCGGTTCGTAATATCCTGCTTGGTTTCTAGACGAACTTTGTATGTTGTTTTGCGGTTGTTGTGGCTGTTGTGGTTGCTGTTGTGGTTGCTGCATCTGATACATCGGCTTGTTTTCTATAAATTTTAAAAAAAGTAAATTTTCAAATGTAATCAAAAAACTCTTACACATTCGTATTAACATGAATAAAGTTACCATTTTCTCTACAAGATTGTTGCTGTAATTGGTGGGGCTGTTGTTGTTGCTGCTGTTGTCGTTGAGCCATTTGTTGCATTTGATACTGTTGTTGATGTTGTGGTGCTAATTGGCTTGCATGTTGTGGCTGTTGTTGTTGTGGGTGGTGATGAGCTTGTTGCAGGTGTTGTTGATGCTGTATCTGTTGTTGTTGTTGCTGCTGTTGTTGTTGCTGCTGCTGCTGCTGAGACGACATCACGCAGTTTTGCGACAATAGTTGTTGCTGTTGTTGGTTTTTAACGTTTACTTGGAAATAGTTGTTGCTCCGATCATAGAGAGGACTGGATTGGTGCCCGTTTGAAACAGGGAATGGTAACTTGCCTGGATATATATCCAAAAAAATTATTCGATTCGAAAAATGGTTTTAGTGAATAATTTAATAATATATTTAATAATATATATATTAATGAAAATTATATTATTTAATAATGGATGATGACTACCTGTCCTACAGTAGAGTTGTGAGTTCGGTGAAATTCCATTTTGTTCGAAAAAATGGGGCGAGAGTTGATTGTGCTTGTCGGCTAAAAATGGATGGATGTCTGTGTGTGTGTGTTACAATTTTTTGTATTAAGAATTACGCATCCAGTTATACACATAAGAAAAGAAATAACTGTTTAGAACACAGCAATTGAAATAATTTGTCACAACTTAACGATTTAAATAATTGTAAATAATTAATACACAATTGATTAAAATGCTTAAAAATCGTTAAAAAATCAAGCATTGAAACATAAATTGAAACATTGAAACATGCTTACTTTGTTGTTTGTCTCTTGTGGTCAGTGTATTTCCGGTATTTCTTGCAAACTGATAATCCATCTTTGACCAGTTTTTTCGTTCCTAAGCCTAGTACAAAAGTAAAAGCTCGAGTAATTATCAAATAAAAATTGTCTTTTTTGAACTAAAAATGGCTCAACGTGTCGTATTTTTTGGAGTAGTTTTATGTTTTCGAGATTAGAATATTTGATCTTATTAGAAAATAAATAAATAACTATTTGAAATTGTATGTAAGATGATCAATATAATTTTCAAATAAGTATGACGTTGATAATTAGAATGAAAATAAATGATTACGTCATATTTGGTAGTGTTGTGTTCGAGAGAGAATGTATTAAACAGTCAAAATTTGAATAATAAAGGGATCGAACAAACATCCATTCATCAAATATGTGATACGTCAATCGATCCACGAAATGTTATAACATCGCTAGCCACTGAAGTACTAGCCTATCCCATACAAATGTTAAACATTGCTGATTAGAAATACCCGATAACTACAAAGTTTAACTTTTAAACGTTCACTTTTAAATTGATTTGAGCTTGAAACAGAATTTTTATTCGCGAAAATGTCCGTAAATTATGCATCTGGTTTGTCGCCGTACGAACACAAAGGAAAGTGCGGAATGAAAGAAATTTTTGATGAACCTGAAATTTTAGAAAAGGCGTGTGATCAGCTGGCCGAGATGATCCGAAACAGCAGAAACCTGGTGGTGATTACTGGAGCAGGTGTAAGTACTTCGGCCGGCATCCCTGACTTCAGAGGACCCAAGGGTTAATAATTATTGAAATTATTATGTGTTTTTTGATAAATGTAATATGTTTAATTTGTCCGTTACAGTAAAATGATTAAAAAATTGAATGAATTAGATTGCATAATTTAGGCAAGAGTTGCATTTGTAATTTATTTGTATTGCCCATTTGAAGTGGCTAGGCCACATTTCTGTCATACCCTGCCCCCAAGGCTATAACAGTTAATGATTTTTCATTTTTTTGACATTTTTTCATAAATATTCAATAAAAATAAAGTTGAATAAAATTGAATTTTTTAAAAATATATATTATTTTGAAAAGATTTAATTAATTAATTAATGATTTCATAATTAAGAATGTATTTCAGGTGTATGGACTTTAGAAGAAAGAGGCGAAACTCCAAAGCTTGATGTAACGTTCGAGACAGCAAGACCGACATTAACACACATGGCTCTAGTAGCTCTTGAGAAAAAAAGTAAATTCATGAATATATCATTTATTGCATTTTATATAATTATTCAATAAGTGAATAATATATATATATATATAATCTAATAATATTAATACACTAATTATTATATATATCACAACAATCACAAACTATTCACCATTAACAGAGATTAAGGCATGTAGCAAATCAAAGCTGTTGTTAACTTTATTAAACAAAAACTACCCATAGATATATTGAAACATCTGGTCAGTCAAAATGTTGATGGACTGCATATGAGGTCTGGTTTTCCAATGAATAAGCTGTCCGAACTACATGGTAACATGTTCTTAGAACAGTGTGACTTGTGCAAAAATAAAGTCTGTAGTTGGTTTTTATAGTTTTTTTTTTTTGAAATATTTATCTTCAAGATTTGGCTGAATTAATCTTATATTTATTACAATAATATCTGAAATCTGAATATATGTTTGTCATGAAATGTCGAGATTTTCTGACTTTCTATACTCATTCTTTTTGTAGTACATCAGATCATCAGTAGTGCCGACGATGGCTAAGAAAATAACTGGATCTAAATGTAGAGTTCAGAAGCATAAAGGGTTTTGTAGGTGGGTGCATCAATAATAAAATAATTTTATTAATTTAAATATTTTTAATAACTAAATGATAGTATAATGCACACGCACGCACATGCACATTTATGCCTACATTCATACACACACACACACACACACATACACACACACACATAAAGTACATACATACAAAATTCACAAGTAGATATAACATTTTGTTCATTTTTGCTCTGCTAGAGGCAACATGAGAGATACAATTCTAGATTGGGAAGATGAGCTACCTGTTAATGAACTCAACATATCAGAAGAATTCTGCCGGTTCGTAATGTTATTTATTTATTAACATCATGTTGTCTTGTCTTGCCTGAAAGAGAAACATTTAGCAACATAAAAATTAACAATTTTAACGAAAAAAAGTGGCTTTAAAAATATCATTTTCCATTAATTGTGATTACAATCTATACAGAAATGATTCTTCAAAAAAATTATTCTTCAAAAAAAATTACTTTTTAAAGAAATTATGAATAAATTACTTTCAAAGGAATTCAGATTTGTGTTTGTGTCTAGGCACATCCCTGCAAATCATGCCCTGTGGCAACATGCCCCTACTGACCAAGAAAAACGGCGGCAGAGTGGCTCTGGTTAACCTGCAGAAAACGAGGATCGATAATAAATGCGACCTGAAGATATGGGCCTTCGTCGATGACGTCATGAGGAGAGTTAGACGTTTATCATTCGCAACGTGATTACCTACCGTCATTAATAATATTTAATCATTATTTAGTTATCACCAACGATCATCTAGTGATTTAATCACTATCTATGGTATTTAATAATTGTCAATAGTATCTAATTTAAGTGTATTTAAATTTATTTATTTGAAAAGAGCGAATTGAAGATTCTAAAAATTTAATAATAATCTAGTTTTTTTTATCATAAACAAAACAACCATCATTCATTCATCATCGTTAAACATCATTTTACTATTTTACCATCTCCAAGGTCTGTGAGAGACTAGACGTAAAAATACTGACGTGGACAGAGCCTGTAATCAACACGAAATCCACACACAGCATACAACAACCTCTTGATCACAACTTTTCTTCAAAATCGGACGACGACACGGCAGACAATAATGATCATACCAAAGGAAATAAACGAAACTATAAGAAAAAACATAATTCATTAGATTCGAAATTTCTAATAGATGAATGTTACAGTAATGCTAGAAATGGCAATGATGATTCAAATTTAAGTGATTCTAAAATTGCTGACACTAAAGATTTTGCTGTCGTAAATAACATGAAAAGAAAATTTGATTCTTAAATGTTTTATTTCACAGTTATTGCACGTTCTTCTTTGTATATTTTTACAATGTGTCAATTCATGTGGTTGAAAAATAAAACGTCAGTTTGAAAATATTTCATCTCATCACATAATTTGATAGTTTCATAGCTTGACAGTTCCACAACTTGATAGTTCTATCTACTGACTGACGTGAAATTATAATTTAGCAGAATGCAACACGCCGCTAGTAACAAGAAAAAAAAACATGAAAAGTTTCATGAAACTAATTCTTGAAATAAAGATTTGATCAGATGGTAGACAAATAAATTTTCAACTACAATATACATGAAAATGCACACGCATCTTGAATGAATGTAGTGATCTGCAACTGTTCATTCTTTAATAATAAAACATCAATCATTTTTATGCAAATTTTAATACATTTGCATATATAAATAAATTCAAAAATTTGATTTAAAAAAAAAGACAGCTTAGGATTAAAGTGCATATGTTATGCCTGTTGTTGTAAATTGAGAGTGTTAGTGACGATGATTAGTAGCGGTCATTGGTAGTAAGTCTGGTCAATCTCATCTGCGTACTGCTGCTCTTCGTCTTCGTAATTAACATCATCATAATTGCTGTAATCATTCCCACTTTCGTCATAATCTAGAGCACTATTTTCATTCTCACCGTGTTCAACGGAGTTAATTTTTTTTCTTTTAGGCACTCGACCGTGATTTTTTGTCTGATGTTTCAGCAGATCCCCGCGATATTTGAATCTTTTGTTGCAGTTGCTGTAACCACAGATGTGTGTAGCTTCGGTAATAACAAACTCTTCATTTTCCTCTCTGCTGACGCCTGATTCATAATCCATGTCAAAACCACCGTCCGCTTTCTTCTTGCGAGATGGAATTCTATTGTGGTTTTTAGTTTGATGTTTTAAGAGATCACCTCGGTATTTAAACCTCTTGCTGCAATCAGGATAACCACAGATATGCACTGATTCAACTATTATCAATTCTTTCTCGTTGTTTGAGTTAATACTAGTGTTGGCCTTCGTGTGCACATTAGTGGACGGCAGTGCAGGCATTAAAGCAAGTTGTTGATTTCTTTTATTGATCTTGAAAAAAAAATCAAATTTACATTTTTTAATAAAATAAATAATTAATGTGTAAGAGTATTGAATCAAAAAATACCTAACTGTGATATTGCTGTGGAATGTTTCCTTCTTTATAATATTTGCCTTTGTATTTATATTTCTTGCTTGACTTGATACAGATGATGTTTTAGGAATGTTGCAATCATAACTTTGCTGAAAACCATAATTATTAAAATTTGTACTTTGGGATGAAGTAATGTTTGTAGCTTTTTTGACTTGAGAAGTTTTTACCATGGAGGTGCCCTTTTTCAAAGATTTAACTCTACCAGTTGGACTAATGAAATTGCCAGATGTTTCATAATTAGAGCTGGCAAAATTTTGTGTCAGCATTTGTTTCACTGGAGGCAAATCAAAATGTTGATAGTTATCAATAGAATTAGTAGTTTTACTATTATATAATTGATATGACTGTTGTTGACTGTAAAAATCTGATTGCTCTGTTTTGAAGGATCTTTTAATCGGCTGTTGAAAACTGTTATTAATCGGTTCTCTTTTTATGAAGTTTGAAGGAGCAGACGTTTCAGTTTCATTGTACAGGCCATTCACAATGTTGTTAGGATTGTTGGAGGTAGGGTCAAAAATCTGGTCAATGTGAATGACGAACTTATTGTCGTCCGCCGTAACGCAGATAACGCCTTCGATTTTTAAAATTTTATAAAATGTCAGTCCTTTCTGACACAGGAGTCCGATTGTATCACAGACAACTTCTTTTAGTTTCTCACATTCAGCCTCCATGTTGATTTTCCCACCGCAACAACTAAAAGTGAATTGATAAGAAACTGCATCAACACTGACTAAAAGTGGAAAAAATAAGAACTATAGCCATAGAGTTGAAGGGTTAGACCGTTTAAATTTCAAATCTTATATTTACCTACATGCGATATCAAGCTATTTTCAGTGTAGCGTTCAAATGTAAACACTGGTGGTTTGAAAAAGTCATGTCCAAATATTATATTATAATTAATTTTTTTATTTACTACATTAAAAAGTAAGAATGGACACTGAGACGATTTTACAGGCGATCAGGGAACACGCTACGACCGAGGTGATGGAATTCGATGAGCTCATTCCAGCCAGTGGCAGTCTCCTAAAAAAATTATCCCAGCAAAGATCGGATTACAAATATTGTGACGTCACTTTAACAGTGAACAAGACCCTCATCAACGTTCATCAGTGCGTCATGGCGGCTGCCAGTTCCTACTTTGATCAGATGTTTATCAATCTGAAAGAGAATTTAGATTCTGACAATAATAACAAAACTTCTAAAAATAATAATGGCCCCACTAACGATCTTGAAATTAGTGCTCGAAATCCGGACGCATTCATGATGATGATTGACTATGTTTACTCAGGCCAGATAAAAATAACCTCAGAGAACATTGCAGACATCATTGATTTAGCCACTCAGTTCTCCATATCTAAGTTACAAGATCTTTGTAGCAGGTATTTAAAACAAAATATAAATGACAAAACATGTTTTTACATCCATCATCTAGCTAAACAGCATAACTTATCATCACTACTCAACATGATTGACAGTTATGTTTTTGTCAATATAAATAGACTGGTTCAATCGGGGTTGTACCTAGATATTACACTACCCATGTTGGAAATCTATCTAGGTAGGTCAGTTCCTCTTACCGAAATTCAACGTTTGGATGCAATATTTCAGTGGATTGAGCATAAATTTAATGTGAGAAAAGATTGCTTGCCCATCTTATTAAAGTTGATTCACTGGTCAGCAGTGGATGATGATGTGATAAATAAGCTGTTGCTTCAGAAAGAATATTTGATGAATAATGAATGGATGTGTTTTCATCTGTTACAAAGTTTGAACAATTCTGACAAGTTGTTTCTCAGCTTGAAGGAGAAATTTTCCCAATTGAGAGATGTTTTCTTAAAAATTAATGATACCGTACCAAAAGTTGTTTCAACGAGTAATGATGCAACCAGGCCAGATCATGCAGATGAAAATAATTTTGATGATGCATCTGATGATAATGATTCGGATGGAGTACCAGTTGTGAATGCTGCTGATGTGGAAAAATCTTCATCTGCTGTCAGGAGAGAAAGTGCGAGGATTGCTCTCCGGGTTAATTCTGATATTCAGTGCATCAATCAGAAATCAAAAAGTTTAAAACGTAAAAATGTAATAGCCTCATCATCTGATGAAGATGAAGGTAACAATGACTTATCAAGAAGAATCAAAAAGTCAAAATTTGTTAAAAATAAAGAAAACACCTTACAACTAAGCAAAAAAACCAGATCAAAATATCAGAAAAGAAAGAAAATAACATGTACAGAGTGCCCATTCATAGCATACAAACCTGAAAAAATGAATCGACATATATCAGTTGCACATAAAGACTCTAAAAAAACATACACCTGTGATCTGTGCCAGTTTAAATGCAAATGGAACCGACAGTTCTACAACCACCTTCGAAGTCGACATTTCAAGGGTCCTCCGTACCACTGTGATAAATGTGGTTACAAATCTGGCAGCATCCAATCATTGTTACTGCATAGAATTGATCATTTAGATAAGAGGCCACATGTCTGTGACCTTTGTGGGGCAAGTTTCAAGGTCAAAAGTGTTCTCGATGCCCATGCTAAAACACATTCTGGTCAGTTTCTGGGAACTGAATTGTTATATCTTTACTTTGTTTTTGTTTGCACAAATAAATTTGTATCAAGTAAATTTTTGTTGTTTTGATTACTTCAAATTTGTTTGTCACCAAGGAATTGTTGTCCAAAATTATTATGCATTTCTTTGACAACATGAGCTGAATAGTTTTAATAAAACTTTCTACCCTACATCACTGACACGAATTGAACAGGTGAAAGAGCCTACAAATGTACAGAATGCAGTAAATGTTTCTCTACAAAAGGGACACTTACACAACACATGAGCTCTCACAACAGTCACAGGCCCTTCCTATGTGATCTCTGTGGATTCTCTACTAAATATCAGTCACACCTCAAAGCTCATTCTAGATTGCATACGGGTTTTTAAAAGTTTTTTTTAGTTCAAATTATGAGTGTGATTTGAATAATTGGTATGTTATCTAAAAGATGAAGAATAGAAGGTTTCCATTCTTAACACTTTGTTGATTGTTGAAGAAATCGAAGTTCATAGAATTTCTGATATTTCCATGCTCTAATTTTATTTTCAGGTGAAGTTTTCTACTGCCAATATGAGGGCTGCACTTACAAGACCCCCAAGAGAAGTCAACTGGCCTGCCACCAACGCACCCACTTGAACTTACGCAACCACACGTGTGACGTCTGTGGACGAAGTTTCTTGGAACGCAGCCACCTCGTTCGCCACAAACGCCTGCATTCAAGCGAGCGACCATTCGCCTGCGAGAAGTGCGGCTACTCCAGCACCAGACGTGATAAGTTGAAGGAGCACCAGAAAAAATATCACGACGAAAATGTAGACGGTGACGAAGGGGCTCTTCAAAATAAACGAGCTTACCGACCGCGAAAGTCAAAGGTGAGTTCAGGTGGCCCTGATGTTAACTTTAATGTGAATAACAAAAAAGTTGTTGGCGCCAGAAAGAAAGGGACTAAAAAGTTTATTGATGTTGGAAATGATTTAGTTGTTGAGTCCTTGACACCCAGTAACAATAATAACCTCTTGACTAATGAGCCACATGTTTCAAACATTCACACATCGTCAGCACCACCACCAAATAATAACAGCTTACTACCTTCTAATACCATCCCAACTTCAATTTCCTCCTTACCACACGTTAATGATGCTACTATGGTCGTTGATGTTAGCAACACTAACAAATATTTTAACAATGCTGACGTTAACGTTCACGCTCGTATTAACGACGATAATGTTAATGCCAGCATTCACATGAATAGCGGTATTATTAATGTCAGCAGCTACACCAGCAACACTCCACAACAAACTCTTCTAACATCAATCAATCCTCTTATCACTATCACTTCAACTACTGCTACCGCAAATAATAATGATAATGCTAACATTAATATCAGTAACAGCAATAGCATCAACCAACCATATGCAAAGCCAATACAGATAGACACGAATATTGACAACACTATCGTTCATAATCTCTTCAAGAACAATGCTAATAACTACCCTGTCGTAGGAGGCAATACACGTCTGCCATCTTACGAGCATACGCATCATTTTCATTCCTTCTCTTCCTCCCATTATTCCTCCTCTTCCGGCGTCTCTAACGACCCAACCGGATCTTCAGGGATTTCGGACATGGCTCCGTCTACAAATTTGATGATTTCTCCATCTACTAACAATTTTTCCTCACCTGGAAATAACTCACAGAATTTGGACCTGTCTCCTTCAACTTTGGCGAACGTATGCACGAATATTTCACCTGGACAGTCAACTACTTCCGGTCTTAGTAACTTGAAAGGTTTGAGTCCTAACAAGAGCATTAACAGTGGGAAGAGTTTCACCGATAGTTGTGTTGTCATGGGAGATGATGACGACGACGACGACGATGATACAGAGGCTGACGTGACTGTCTTGTATCTGTCTGATGGTGACGATGATAAGGTAGCATTGTTGAAGATTAAAAATCCACGCCCAGGTGCAGCTGAAAAAAGTTCCTCATCTGCTTTTCAATCAAAATTAGAACAGCTGAAAGCTAAAAAATTAGTGAAAGAAAGGTTACAGAATTATTTGAAGACGAAAACTGATTTAAGTTCCGTTTCAAGTGTGAGTGCCAATCTAATCAACAAATCTAACAATGTCACACAGAAAAGAGAAAAGAAAGTTTTTACGGTAACCAAAAAGATTTTTGCTTCTTGCATACCTCCAAGAACATTCTCTACCTCTCATGTTGTTCCTGCTAACAGATCCAACTTTCCATTGAATGTTGGCGCTAACAATCCAGTCAGAAATGATTCGAGCAATGCCGCTGTCAATTTTGTCTCTACTAATGTAAATGTACATTCTCAATTCAATGATGGTTCTGTAAATTCATCATCGTCCGATATCATGAATTCATTTGCTGGTCAATCAAATGCTTCAGAGGAGTTTGTCTCGATAGTCAAATACAGAGAAAACTGATATTTTTTTTATTTTTTTTTCAATTTTTCTTAAATTATTTCAAATTTGTATTGTTTTGTTTCGCTTGTTCGCTTGTATATATATGGCATTTTGTACACGTTATTGACCATTTTTAAAGAAGCCTGTGTTTTGTGTACATGAGTTTTTTATCTTTCAGGTAAACATTTTTCTCAGATTTATTTTTAATAACGACATTCTTCGTTTTCATAACTGAATAGCAGCTAAGTTTTATACTTGTAATTTTACATTTTAATAAAATAATTAATTCCGAATGGTTGTTATCATTATCGCTTTATTTAGATTCGTAGTTTAAAAAATCTTAAGTGTCAATGATACAAAAACGTTTTGTTATTCATCCGTTCTTTTTATCCCAAGAATGTTAACAAAGTTTTGTAGAAAATGAATTTTTATAAAATTATTATCAAAAAACAGGAAAACTGAAAAAAATTGCCTTTTAAAATGAATAGCAATGATGAAGAGCATGTCGTGAAATGATGAAGATGAAACTCAATTGCATCACAGCGATTAGAAACCTCTCAAAATAAGACAAAGCGTCTTCAAGTTAAGGAGATCTTATAAGGTGCAACTCTGGTAGGTAACAAGTGGATTTTAAATATAACAATAAAAATGTTAGCTATCATGATGTCTCGTCATTAACAAAGTCTGAATAGGGTCGAATCAAATACGTACATTTTGCTACTTACATAAGTATATACGACACATACCTACATTTACCTGGCTAATAGATATTACACAGCATGTAAGGTATTGTGAATAACAAATTGGGATAGGCGTTTTTAAGAAAACTACAAGTTTGAAATAATTCAACATCCATCCATGCAGTTTTTATCTATTTAAGAACCATCTCGATGTTCTTGTTGCGAGTACCGCGAAATGTATGAGGTATAATTAAACAAACAGAATCGATCTTCCATTAAACGTTTTTCATCTGGACCCAAACATCATCCATCCCGTCTAGATTCGTCGCCAATGTATTTTCTTCTATACTGCCGGCCACATATCTAGCTTCTTTCAGACGAATAGTTTTTATCTCATTTTCTAAATTTTTACAACTCGACTGCTGCTTCGAACTGCTGACCAAATCAGGTGAGCGAGTTATTAAATCTAACGATTGTTGTCCATCCACTACAAACAGATTCTCTTTCATTTTAGACATCGCCACATTCTTTGGAACGTTGGTGTCGCTGACGATGTCATCAAGTACATTTTGGTTGTTGTATGTTTGGTCCTTCTTCTTCTTCATCATCGCTTGCTTGATGACGGCCGAAGATGGGATTGGGTCAAAGGCGATTGCGTTGCATATGAACGCGTTCTCCGAAATCATTCCTCTGCTGATGAAATTCTGAGAAAAATTAGACCAATATTCATCGTGTGCTTATTAGGTATTATATGTATCGATATGAATTTACTTACTTCACACGTTACTTATTGAAAATAAAATGAGCTTTTCTCATAATTCTTTTTAAGATTTGATAACATACTTTTTTGACAGACACTGTGATTGATTAAATAAGTAAAGAAATGACAGAAAATTACCATAATTTGGCAAGCGAACTCCGTGAGAGCGTTTTGAACTTCCAACTGCTGTATCTCCTGGGCATTCTTCAACAACAAACACTGGCTCTTAAGTTCGTTAACATTTTCCAGCATATTCTTCAAATTAGTTTCAATGTCCGGCAGAGACTTTCCAACATCTCCACGATTCAATTTTCTGCTGCCATCATTAATTTCAACGTTAAAATTTTTCATCTCAACTGATAACGGAGGTAATTCGTTGGAAAATTTTTTATCTTCAGCATTTAGAGAGCCGTGAATCCATTGAGTCAGTGATGCCAGCTGGTCCTCTAGCTGGTGAATCCTCAATCTAATCAAAATATTATTATTAATTTTTTATCCGATTAAAATTATACAATTTTATTATATATTTATTACTTTTGAAATCGTAATTTACAAAAATATTTCTTATATTTATTCATTCATTTGTATTTTAAAACATGAAAAAAAGTAAAAGCTCTTTATAAGATTGTGAAAAAATAAAGATCTCACTGAGTATTTAGATTATCATCTTCAGTCGCCTTCGAAACATTTGGTTTGGTTTTGAAGTTTGTGTTCAGCAAATCAACTGGAATGAGATCAACGAAGCTACCTGTCTGACTTTTTGTCTGTTTCGATTCAGTTTCTGGAAGAGAATGGCATGAATTGTGATGATGTTGGCTGTGGTGGCTATCATGGTTGATGTTAATATTATGTTGTTGTTGTTGTTGCTGCTGCTGCTGATGCTGCGTTCTACAACTCGATCTCTGTGGCGATAGAGAACTTGCATGTTGAAAATGTTTGCACTGATGCATGGAGGAATGACTGCACTGGAAAAATTGGTTGTTGTGGTGTTGATGCTGGCAGTGATGCCGACAGCACGGGCTGGCGGGGCTCTTATTATTTTTTCCACAACCTTCCAAGCCGTAGATCGAATAGTTGACGCAGCTGTGCTCAATTGAGGGCGATGAATTTGCAGAATACGAATGACGACCGGAAGTTTTTTGTTTCTTACGAAGGCCGTTGTTCCCATTGTCAATCTTAGGAGTGTTATTGGCGTTGTCTTGCTGGCCGTGATGATGGTGATGATGATAATGACAATAGATTGGCTCTGAATAGTTTTGCCTATCCAAACTACTGTGATAGCATGAATTTGACATTTGGGACGCAGATTTCGTTTTTGGTGATTCATTTGATTTGTTTGCAGTGCTTTTGTTGTTACTGTTGCTCGGAAGATAGTAAATGCTCTCCTTATCTAATTTCTTGACGCTTACATTATAGTCTTGCGTTAAAATTTTGTCAGACTTCACAGTTGTCTCTTTCGGTTGTTGTATCTGCTGCTTCTGATTCCTCTTTGTGGTTGAGACGATGAGGCTCTTGTGGATCTTCTCCTTACTGCTGCTACCACCAAAACAACAAACTTCTTTCGGGGCTTTCAGTTTCGATAAATTTTCTTCCGTTTCAGCGAGATCCGGTAATGCTTGGAGAGAATTTGTTTTGACGATGAAATGCGTCTTCTTGGACTGATGTGCTGACGCGTGGAGGCTGTTCAGTGGTTGTTGCTGGAGTTGGAGTTGTTGGAGTTGCTGGTAGTGCGTTATGTCTTCATAGTTTTTTGGTTTTCTTTCAAATATTTTCAACACGCTCAAATTTTTTACGTCTCTGAAAATTAAAATTTTTGAATAATGAAAAGTTTGAGAATGAACTGAAAACGATAATAAAAAAAAGTATACAACATAGTAATATCACATCAGCATTTTATCATCATGTCTATCATCTTTTAGCTACTTAGCCTAGAGTAAAATCTAAATTCTAAAAAAACGTGTTGAAAAAAACTTCGCCATCAACACCACCAAACATTCAAAAAGCTCTATCCATCCCACTTATAATTCTCCAGCTCGTAGAATACGGTTGCCACATTGTCCAGAATATACACGCTCAGTCGGGATTCGCTCCCAGAAAAATCCTGAAGACTGATGTCGTCGGGGAAGGCGTGCGAGAAAATCTGGTGCACTGCTTGTAGCGATGTTATTGTCTGCAGCAATACGCACCTCTTCATCTCTTTTCCGAATATCAGAAATACCTGACCTTCAGGATTTTGAAAGGTTAAAGGTGAAATATTATAATGAGGTGACATGTTAATGAGGCAAAGCGGTGTTAAAAGTTATAGCTAAGGTCAAATATCATCATGAAGTGGCATGTTAATGGGGTCAAACAATATTACAATTAGAGTGAATATAATTATTTCACTGAATGGTGAAGAAATAGAAAAGCGAGATGATGATGATGATGAGATGAAAGTTATAACATATGAGACATTATTACTTTCAATTCAATGATAACAATGATGATGATGAGGAGGAGAATGATGATGATGAGGAGGAGAATGATGATGATGAGGAGGAGAATGATGATGATGATGATGAGGAGAATGATGATGATGAGGAGGAGAATGATGATGATGAGGAGGAGAATGATGATGAGGAGGAGGAGAATGATGATGATGAGGAGGAGAATGATGATGATGATGATAAAGAAATAATACTACTAATAATAAAAAGAACAACGATAATAATGATGATGATGATGTTGACGTAGTGATAAATGTATCCCAAATTTTATTGCCTATTACACACAATAATAATAGTGACGATGTTGACATTTGGGCAAACATTCATAATACGAATGAATGTATGTTTTCATGTATGTATGTGTGTATATGTATGTTTGTATGTAGTATGTATGTACATATGCATGCATGCATTTATACATTAATAATACATGCTTATGTGTGTTTGCTTTATAAACAATCTTCTTAATTCATGTAGTGGATACGAGCGTAATATAACGTGACGAAATAATAATAATAACAACGATAATAATAATAATTATTATTATTATTATTATTGGGCATGATAGTAAGCTAAGTATCTCGTAAGTTAAATCACGTGATACATATATATCGTTTTTGTTTTGAATGACGTCATATGGCGTTGTTTTTAATTTAATTCGTTTGTTCACTTTCTCTTTCTGTCTCTGTCTCTGTCTCTCTTTCTCTCTCTCTCTCTCTCTTTCTCTCTGTATTAATAAAATTCTTACAATGTATCTAACATATAGCAAGGCTGAAATGTGAATCGATAGAATTATTTAGAAATTAAAATTATTGATCGGTTAGGACATTGAGGTGAGAGGACACCTGGTGGATAAGATAATAATTCATTTATTTCTCCTCTTTGAATTTTTACTCTTTTGTTCTTTCTTCGCTTAGCTGACAATTTAAATTTAAACATTACACCCACACGCGTGTTGTAATATTCATCTGAACTTTGTAATAGTGTAAATGACCTTTTAACCTTTATATAGAGCTGTATAGGGCTATATAGAGTTATATATGGTTATATAGAGTGATATATGGTTATATAAAGTGATATATGGTTATATATATTTATATATAATTATATAGAATTATATATATGGTTATATAGAGTTATATATAGTTATATAGAATTATATATATGGTTATATAGAGTTATATATAGTTATATAGAATTATATATATGGTTATATAGAGTTATATAGGGCTATATAGAACTAACCCGCACGTGTGTGCCTATGTGTATGAGAGTCGATCACATGTGTACAAGTAAGCATTTGTAAATAGGCTTCTATTTTCGCACTTAGATGTAATTTTTCCAATTTTTTACCATTTCCGCCCGTCATTCCCAACTCTCGAACTGCGACTCCGTATTAATCCCATATATATATATATATATATATATATATATATATATATATATATATATATATATATATACACACACACACGCACACACGCACGCACATGTACAAAAAAAGTACATACATACATAACCAAATCACTCACACACAAACATAAGCATACGCGCGTCTGCATGCTATTTATCGATTTTCCCATTTCGAAGCAAACATATAAACAAACACATGCGTTCGTACTTAGATCCATAAAAATATTTTTTACAATAATTAAAAGTATTTTTAAAAATTATAAATGTGAAATATATTATTAGTAGTAGTAGTTCGCCCAAGCTTGCTATTGAACCCGGCAAAATATCGTTTTATGGTTAAACTTCTCAAATGAAACGAATCGAAATGATCAGAGTTATTATGATGTATGTATGCATTCTTGTTTCCTGGTTGTACGCAAAATTCGATAATAACACACGCATCGTTCGCCCATTTTTGTGGAAAATCAATAATAAAAATGTAGGTACTGAGGAATGGGCTGTAGTGGAGCGTGTAATATGAGTGAATGGAGTGCTGTGGAGTGCTGTGGAGTGAGTGGAGTGCTGTGGAGTGCTGTGGAGTAAGTGGAGTGCTGTGGTGTGCGTGTGGAGTGCAGTGGTGTGTGTGAGTGTGGAGTGTGTAGAATGAAGTGAGGAGTTTTTTTGGCTTGTTTCGATTTGTAGTTTTCTGAAACTTTTGTTAAGTGTATGTGGAGAGTCATAGCTGATGGTGTTTTGTGTGGAATATGCGTCTCTGACGAGTTTTAGTATGCTAAATGTGAATGTATAAAACCAAAAAATGCACACACACGCAGGCACACATACACAAACAAGCACGTACCAACACACACGCACACACACACACATGCATGGATGAATTATTGGAGATATAGATATGAGTGACCAATAAGATTCTCGGGCAGACTGCTTGGTTCGTTCAGTTCCTCTCTTGTTGTATCTCCTCCTCCTTAAAATCGATATTTCTTATCTAAAATCTGAATTTGCGCGTCTTCTCTTTTTCTTTTCACTCTTTTTTTCTTTCTTATCTCTCTTTCTCTCCCCACTCTCACTTTTCCTTCTTATTCAGCAACCTAGAAAGTGTTGAATTTCAATGAAAAAATTTAATTAATTATTTTAATTCAATTAAATCCATTTCAAAGAAATTATTCCAAACATTTCAGAAACTACTCCAAACATTTCAGAAATTATTCCAAACATTTAATTACACCCTGGAAAGATGCGTGCAGATGCTAGCAAGGGATACATTTGATATGACATGCACACACACGCACGCGTGCGTGTGTCCCTCCGACTTTCGCTTCACTTTGGAAATGCAATGTTGACAAAACAATTTATCAGGCTGTCACAAGGGTGATGTTCCTCGTCCAAACTTTGGAAAAATTGCAATTTTAAAAGGAAACCAGGACAAAAACGCTGTCGCGCATGGAAAAAATCATTTCATCGTTGTCGTCGTCGTCATCTTTTCGCCACTGGAGTCCCAATCATCATCAGTGTCATCGTTGTTATCGGCGTCATAATAGTCATTGTTTGTCTAGTCTGTTCATATCGTCATCCCTCCCTCACCCTCACCATCATGTTCATCATGTTCGTCATGTTCGTCATGTTCATCATGTTCTCATCAACAGCATCGCATTAACCAACCTATAACAGATCTGTAGAACTGTTCAGCAGACGTGTTACAACTTTTCAAAAGAGAACTTCCATTTTTTTTGGCAGCGACTTCACTGGCGACCCGCGCACCACCCCCACCACCAATATTGTTTATGCTGTTGTTGCTGTTGCTAATATTACTTGGGTAGTATTTAGATTTAGTATTCGCAACAAAGTTTCCATTGTTTGAATTGTAGACATCACTGTCTTTAACAGTGATGTTGTGGTCTTTGTATTTACTGGTATTGGCGAACTCGCCTGTCTCGGGTTCAATTGCAGTCGAAACCATGCTCTGATCGCCTGCACTCAGCGAACGGTAGCGAAATTGAAAAGTGTTATCCATGTTGTTATTGTTGTTGTTTTGGTTGCTTGTGTTGTTGTTGTTACTGTTGATGATGTTGTTGTTGTTGTTGTTGATGTTGTCTGGATTTTGTGTTGTTGATGCCGCCAAGTTATTAATGACAGTTGTTCTGCTAGGGCTATTTTGTTGAGAATTTCTCATATTATTTAATACGTTATATCTGTTGTCGTATATGTTGTTGAAGGAATTCCTCATGGCGTCATAATGTGGTTGTTGTTGTTGTTGTTGTGGTGTTGTTGTTGTTGTAACGTTGTTGTACTCCATTGTCATTTGAGATAAGGAAGAACTATGCAAGTTGAAAATTTTCTGACAGATAGCTGGCTCGATTTTTGGCTCATTTTGTTGTTGTTGATGTTGTTGTTGTTGTTGATGATGATGTTGTTGTTGGTATGCTGACTCAGGACCGTAAAAACTGTTTGTCTTGCATGGAGTTTGCTGTCTTAGATTCATCAAAGAATTGTGCATAACTAAATCAACAGTATAGTTGTTGTTATTATTGTTATTGCTATAATTAGTTTTGTTGTTGCTGCTGTTGTTGTGTTGAAACATGGTTTGTTGCGGTTGTTGGTGTTGTTGTAGTTGTTGGTTGATAATTGCATCAGTAGGCTGGCGAGATATGATGTAGTTACTCTGTTCGATAATTTTCGTTTGTTGTTGTTTTTGTTGTTGCTGTTGTTGCTGTTGTTGATGATATTGTTGTTGTTGATGTAGTTGTTGTTGATGTGGTTGTTGTTGTTGATGTTGTGGGGACGAATGACGAATCTGTAAGAACGTTTTTGTAAGTATTTTATATTCAATTCGGAGACAGTATATTTTATCCGACGAGTTATTTAAATTAAATTAAAAAAATAATTTTTCACTAACCACTAATTCATTATTTTATTGAAATTACTTGACAAAACTAATTTTCAAAAAAAGTTAATTTGTCAGCAAACTCTTCGACATTAATTAACACAACCAGCAATAACTCCAAGCAAACCTGCTTTGCATAAGTATATGAACAACTTTTATGATATACATCAACATACATACATACATACATACATACATACATACATACATACATACATACATACATACATACATACATACATACATACATACATACATACATACATACATACATACATACATACATACATACATACATACATACATACATACATACATACATACATACATACATACATACATACATACATACATACATACATACATACATACATCCATACATACATACATACACACAATCGAAGAGGTAGAAAAAATGACGCCTATACTATAATTCCTTGCGCAAAATTAACCATACAACAGGTAAGCAAGAGACGCCAGAGGCTTTGAAACGCACATACATACGCACATGCATACATACAAACATTGTATACGTATGAAAAAATGACGTACACACGTGTATATACAAGCAGATATACACACATACAATCACGAATTTGCAAAAACATACACATCGAAACAAGATACACACAAATGTATACAACAATTCAAACATAACGGAACGCACATACATACAAAATAGATACACGTATCAAACAGACGTACACACACGAAGTGTACAATTGCGTAAGCGCAACCTACAAAATTCCGCAAGATTTTTATCCTTTTGTCAACAGAAAAGGAGAATTTTTTGTGTCTCGATACGCTATGCAAATGTCAGTTCATCTGCTCCAACATCCAATCATTTCAAAGTTCTATTAGACAGAACAAGAAAAATAATAACAACATCAACCTCGTCAACAACATCGTCAACAAAAACATCAGCATCGTCAACAACAACATCAACATCGTCAACAACAACATCAACATCGTCAACAACAACATCAACATCGTCAACAACAACAACAAAAATAAAGACATCAACAACAACAAGAATAATTTCAACAATAACAACAGCAATAGTAAAAAGAACGATAGCAAAAATATAGATGCGTAGATACCGTATGTACAATACATACATACATGCATGCATGCAGGCATACATACATACAAACATACATAAAAACATACATACAAACATACATACATGCATGTAGCTGTAGTATATGACGCCGATAATTCCCCTTCAAATTTTATGATAGACAGAGTGTGTTCCTCAAGCAAAGCAATGATGTGATGATTTTTTGTTGCTGTATGTATGTATGTATGTATGTATGTATGTATGTATGTATGTATGTATGTATGTATGTATGTATGTATGTATGTATGTATGTATGTATGTATGTATGTATGTATGTATGTATGTATGTATGTATGTATGTATGTATGTATGTATGTATGTATGTATGTATGTATGTATGTATGTATGTATGTATGTATGTATGTATGTATGTATGTATGTATGTATGTATGTGTGTATGTATGTATGTATGTATGTGAGTATTGTTGTGACTTGTTTCAGCGTTTGTAATAACTCAACTACAGCCGAAACGCGAGCGAACCCGAAACGCAATTCAATATCTCCCATTACGCACGTTTTTGCCGCAAAGCAAAAGTGAATTCAGCATCATCATCATCATCATTATCATCATCTTCTTTTTCTTCTTCTCCTTCTTCTTCATCACTATCATCATCAGCATCATCATCGTCATTGTCATCATCATCATCATCTTCTTCTTCTTCTTCTTCATTACTATCGTCATCAGCATCATCATCGTCATTGTCATTATTATCATCATCATCATCGTCTTCGTCGTCATCGCCATCATTCCAATTTTATCTTCTCACCTTAATAGCGTTCACCAAGTCATAAACAACGTCATCCTTTTCAATTCGTTCATTTCTACCTTGCAAGTTATCTGAATGAGTGAAAAATAAATAAAAGTATGAATGAATGGATGAATGAATGAATGAATGAATAAACGAATGGATTGATAGATGAATGAACGAACGAACGTACGAACAAACGAATGAAT